AGCGTACGAGAGGTGGAAAGTTTTGGCGGGAAAATTGATAACTCGGGAACGCGAAAAGATAGGAAGCTGGAATTTTGAGGTTCTGTTCCCCGTCCAAATATAACTCAAATATTTCAAATTCAGCCGCCAGGTTTGCGTTGTTCCTGCGTACGGCCCCGTAAGATTTTTCGGCAGGGAAATGGCTAACTCGAGAATTAGCAAAGCCGGAAAGCTGAAATTTTCAGGGAATGTTTCCAATTCACTTACGACTTAAAGTTGTCAGATTCTGCCTCCAGGTGTGCATGGTTCCCGCGTACGGCCCCGCGAGGTTTTTCGGCTGGAAAATGGCTAACTCGGGAATTAGTAAAGATGGGAAGCTGAAATTTTCAGGGAATATTCCCAATCCACTTATGACTTAAAGTTATCGAATTCAGCCCCCAAGCGTGCGTGGTTCTCGTGCACTGGCAATTAAATTTTTGCGGGAAATTACTAATTGAACGGCTGGGTCATTTTCAAAAAACGACCGCCAAACGGATATTGTTTATTTTTTTTAATGCAAAATTTACGATGAGTTACGGTATTGAGAGCACAAGGAAGGTGTAAAGAAACAACCACTCATGCAGTTAGCCTAATTATTTCAAGTCTGCTGCAAAAACGCATGATCGCACCGGCTCGCCTGGTGCGTTCCAGTCTGGGTTTATTCATGAGCCTCTTGATCCGGCCGCTATACCTCGCTGACTTGATGAACGAGATGGGCAGCGACTTGCAACTGCAAGCAGTTCTTCTGAAGCGACCTAGTTGTCTTTCATAAAAACCGGAAAGTTTTCAGCATTTTAGAGTAAGCGTTGGATGCATATGTTATGAAATATCTTGATAGTCAGCCAGTTCAGTCCTTGCATCAATATTTCCAAAAAAAGCGTCGGAAAGCGATAAAATAATTGGATAAAATAATTGACTGTCGGTGCGATGATGCGTTTTTGCAGAGTTCCTCGCAAATTTTTTGTCTCTTACCGCACTTTTTTTTCCGGCAGATGTTTCTAGCTAAAAGAATTGAGATTGGCCAACACGACTGTGAGAAAATATCCCCTTAGAATTCCAACTTTCTAGCTTCTCTGGTGCCCGAATTAGCAACTTAACCGCCAGAAACCTTCACTGGGGCCGTGCGTGGAAACCACGCACACCGTGTGCTGGGTTTGAATTCATTAAGTTCTACTTGAATGGGGAACATCCCCCAACGTTTCATCCTTGTAGCTTTTCTAGATCTCGCGATGAAAAATCGTTACAGACGAACACACAGACACAGACGACCCCTCGACAGTATGCGTTTTTGCATCGCATAGATGCAAAAAATGCATAAAAACAAATGGGTTGCATCCATAAAACATGACCAACATAATGTCACTATACCACTGTGCCTTAAGCTTAAATGACTTAATTTTTCTGAAAGCCAATATGTACAATTTACGAGGTGTGATGCATTTAGCTAAACACTGTGTGGAAACACAAACAAGCAAGGATTACGTCAAATCTTGCATCAACATTTTCAAAAAACAAACGTCAACAACAATAAAATAAACCGGATGTTATGCTGGCACCGGAAAGATGCTAGTATCGAACAGCTCTCGTAATGAAGACAATGTACTGCATCTTGCTTAATTAAATTTAAATGTCACCGGTCACTGTCAGCTTGATTAGCCTGTGGCAGTACAACTTAGTTGACAGCGCACCGGCTTCCACTGGAAGATGCGCTTTTTCCACAGCCCCTACCATCTCAACCCCCTTTCCCCTTCTTCGCAGGTTTTTGTCGCTAATGGCACTGCTTTTTCCGGCAGATGCTTTTAGCTAAGAGAATTAAGAGTAGCCACCACGTCTCCAAGAAATTATTACAATGACTCCCGATCCATGCCCAAAATATTCAGCACTCTAAGCTTCGGTTGCGGAGGCACGTCAAATTTCACGTCTTCTTACATGAGGGGCAGCGTGGACATTGTTTTCATATGCGTTTGCCTAAACAGGCCCTGACTACGCTCAGAAAATTACAGCACTCCAGCTGCTCTGGTCGCAGAGTTACGTAAAATTTTACGTGTTCGTATGTGGAGGAGAACGTGGATGCTGTTTTCGCATGCGCTTGCTTAAACACGTTTCCGAGCCACTTTCAAAAAATTTCAGCACTATAATTGTTTGTGGAGTTACGTCAAATTTTGCACTTATGTGAAACATAAAGGGGATGTGAAAGTCGTTTTTTACGTCCACCTGATCAAACGCCGCTGTCAGTTATACTCGGAAAGTTCCAGTCCTCTGGCTGCTTCAGTCCTGAAGCTACAGAATTGCCTGCATGAAGTTTTCACGTGTCCATACGTGAGTTGCAGAGGGGCTGAAAAGCCAAATTTACTTTCACGGGCACATCAGTGGGCGACAAGTTTCAAAATTACAGTTCTCTACAGCTTCTTGGTCTGCTTAAATCTCGAGTTGGCACGGTGCCAGTTTAAACTCTGACGTGTGCGTAAGTAAGAATTAAGAATGCGTGAAGGCTGAGTTTGAAATCTTTGGATTAGTTATGGCCGAGAAACATCCTTATGAAGTCTTAGCCTCCTAGCTTGCGCCATTGCCGAAAACGCTTTCCCGCCAAAAAAACTTTTACGTGCTCGTGCGTAAGGATGTAGCCAATCCGTTAACAATCCACGCGGACCTGAGCGTCCATTCTGAACATAGCAGCTCACACGTATGTGTAGATTAAATTTCCGAAATTTCAGCCTTGTAGCTTTTGTAGATCTCGAGATGGAAACTCGTGGCGCACACACAGACAACCTTCTAGAATATGTGTTTTTGCAATGCATAGATGCAAAAAAACGCTCAAAAAAACGGGTTGCCTACATCCATCAGTAAAGCCGTTCAACTTAGGATCGAGGAGGAAGCTAGATCAAGTCGTGGTTCACTCAGAAATTTCATATTAAAGGCTTAAATGGAAATAGTACATCATTTGCAGACAGTGTAATAATATCAAGGTCAGCTGTATGAGAGCGGTAATCCGTCGTTTTCTGGCACTATTTCCGTTCAAAAAAGCTGTCGACTTCGTTTTCTACCCTTCCGGCTAGACGTGGAGGTGTCCCGTTTTTAGTACCAAGGCCTGTTTTCTCTATAATTTCACTGGTAATTTGAATTAGATTTGGGCAGCGCTGGCAGATCATTATATCGGCGTACTCGGTATTGACTGGGAAGAAACATGTCGTTGCGCATTCAGTGACAAAATAAATCCGCATGATGATCGTCTGAGTCTACAAATCATCAAGGTTTGCGATTCTTCTAATTTTGAAATTTGACATGCTTTGATCCTAAAAACAAATTCAAAAAAAATTACTGTTCATAATGAACAACAAAGCTTCTTTTACCGAGTAACCCAGGAGCCCACATGAAGATAGCTGTACCGTAACTTATTATGCTTTTCAATATTTTTGTGGCTTGTTTTTAAATGGAAAATTTTATAATTTTGAAGACTGAAAGATTTTTTTTCAGACTTCTGCCCCCAAAAAACTTCTATTTCATTTTTCCAGGTTGTTTTACAAAGCATTATTTCTAAAGAGAATGTTAGTCTGACCGGTGGCCAGCTGCTCTAACAAATCTGAAGAATTTTTAGTCACTTATGTTTCTGATATGACTTTATAAATGCAAGATTTTGTAGGACTTGCATCGGACAGGGTGGAGTAGTTTAAAAGGAGATGAAGAGAAGCTTCTTTTGAAACGAGTTCTTTTGGGCTACGCACGCTTTAACATGACTGTTGGCTACTGCCAAGGCTTCAACGTCATCGCGGAGAATGTTCTGGAAGTCATGGAATACAAAGAGGAAATCGCCCTCAAGGTTTCTTTTCGTGTAAATATTCTGTTCAACGTTCAGAGCATCTGCATCTTGCAGTTTCTGCGAAGTTTTTGCAAAAAACCGTGTTTCACGCTGATCACTTGCATCACTCACATTTTTGCTGTTCATTCTCAGCCCTCGATTTCTATTGGAAATCAAAACTATATTTGTTTTTCGAATCAAGCAACATTTTGCAATCGGTTTGTTCATATGGCTGGAAAATGAGCACCCCGTACTTTGAAGGTCATCATATTTCTGATCGAGCACGTGCTTCCGCGTGGTTATTTTGACAGATCGCTTTACGCATTGTCTGTCGACATGGCTGTATTGAAAGATCTTTTATATCAAAGACTGCCAAAAACCGCGAAGCATCTGGATGACTTGCAACATCAATCTCGTGAGTGTCTGTTTTTCGCACCCAAATTTTATTAACTACGAATGACAAAGTGTGCATCTAAAAGCTGATATTATCTGTGACTGAAAAAGTAGCTAGCAGGTTTGTTCGCTTTTTAGTGAAAATTAATGATTTAGTAAAATAAAACTCACAGTTCATCCTCTCTGAGAGACGGAGCGGCTCTGAACTAGTTCGTGTGGTAGTATAAACCAACAGCAGCTACCATTGTCAGAGCTGTTGGGGACTTCTTCTTCCAAGGACTGTTTGAAAGCACCCTGACGACAACTTCTTGACATGTGCCAGTACTAATTTATCAGCGAAATGAGTGAACAAATTGTAAAGGAATGATTGACCCATTGGCGAATTGAAATCCTCGACATTCAGCAAGCGGGTACGAATTATTATCATCCGAACACATTACAGCAAGTGAATTTGAGCCGCCCCTCACAAATGTCTTTTCAATGCAATGGTTTTTGACGATATTTGCGACCTCTCTACCGAAAAGCTGTTTATATCGAATCTGGGATGCGTTAATGCTTGAAGGTTCAGAAGTGCTTCTGCGATGTGCGCTGGTCATCTGGACCAAGTTCAGCCCGTATGTTGTTTGATATGTTGATTTTTCAGGATTGAAACGATCAGTGAGCTTCCACACATTGATTTTAGAGTCTATTGAGCAAATTCACCCTTTAGGCCGAAATGTTACAACTTATTTTTGATAGCATCATTATTTTTAAGCGTTTTTTGCTGTGCAACAGCTGCACAAAACGCATATTGTTACGGATTTGTCTGTATGTGTATGTGTATGTGTGTGTGTGTGTGTGTGTGTGTGTGTG